ACCGGGGTATGCATTCCTAATGACTTTAGGGTTGCTCGCGAGTCCTTAAGGCTATGTAGCCTGGCATCCGTTTGGTCGGAGAACAAGCCCGAACCTTCAAACGGGAGGTCCTGCAGGGTGGTCTGCACCTCTGGCAGAAGGCCTGAAGCCTGTAACCATGCCGTACGCCTCATCACTACCCCTGACGCGATTGTTCTAGCCGCTGCGTCGGCTGAATCGAGGGAGGCCTGCAATGAGGTCTTGGCCACCGCCATTCCCTCGTCCACCAGGGCCGTGAACTCAGGATGTGCGTCCTGAGGTAGGGAGTCTTTGAACTTGGAGACTGATGCCCAAGAATTAAAATTGTGCCTATTTAGAATCGCTTGCTGATTAGCGATCCTCAGCTGGAGGCCCCCAGACGAATAGACTTTCCTTCCGAATAAGTCCAATCGTTTTGCCTCCTTGCCCTTGGGCGCAGGGGCTTGCTGGCCATGACGCTCTCGCTCGTTGACCGCCGAGACCACCAGCGAACAAGGAGACGGGTGTAAAAAGAGGAAGTCAAACCCTCTTGACGGGGCGAAGTATTTTCTCTCCACGCCTTTTGCAGTTGGTGCACTGGAGGCCGGCGTTTGCCACACCGTCTTATAGTTGGACTGGACTGTCCGTATAATCGGGAGAGCGACTCTGGAGGGCCCCTCCGGGCTCAGGATGTCGACCATGGGGTCCTCCTGTTCTACAGTCTCCTCCGCTTGCAAGCCCAGATTGAGGGCTACCCAGCGAAGCAGGTCTTGGTGCGCCCGATGATCAATCGGGGGAGGGCCGGACACTGTCGTGCCCACTACTGCCTTGTCCGGCGAGGAGGAAGAGGTCAGGGCCTTTTGTCCATCCTCACCTTCCTGCAACCCTTCATCGCCTGGTTGTTCCTCTGGGGCCTGTCCCACGGTGTGGGACTGGGATGGTGCCGAGTCCACTCCCTCCCGCTCCTGCGGTCTAGAGACCGTTGCCTCCTTGTGAGAGGGCGGGTGGTACCGCGGAGAGCGGGATCGGTACCCCGATGGCCTGGATCTCGAGGTCCTGGATGGGGGCCCTTGCTGGTGGTAGGCCCAGGGTGTCCAGAACGGCCATTGGCTTGGTTGGCCCCATTGGGGATGGCCAGAGGCTTCGTAGTCCCTACTAGCCTGTGCCCTATGGGCATACCCGCCGTACCGGCCCGAGTCAGTCTCCGACACCACGGACGGTGATCTGGAAGGCCACGGCGGAGCCGTAGAACGGTGCCGGTCCGGGTATGGGGAGTAGCGCCTCCGCGACCAGGACCTGGAGCAGCGTCTCGCCGACCTGGACCTGGATCGGTACCGGTGACCACGGGACCGGGAACGACTACGGGTGGTCGGTCTCGGGGAACGTACCGTTGACGCATCCCGGTGCCGACTCGAGTATGGCTTCTGAGTCGGTGCCGACCGCTTACTGAGGCCCGACTGCTGCAGCGCTTTCTGCGCGGAGGGCAACCGGGAGTCCACCGAGGCGGAGCTCGACCGGGACCGGTGCCTTGAACGGTGCCGAGATGGCTACCGTGATGGGCGCACCATCGCCGGCTTGCCTCTGTGTGGCAGTCTCGGCGGAGCGTCCTCAGTTTGTGGAGGGCCCTCAACGGACAATGCAATGAGGTCCTTTGCTGCCTCAAATGTGTCCGGAGTGGAGGGCTGTTCCAAGAGCTCCTCCAGCCCTTCTTCCTCACTCGACGCGCCTATCCCGGGGCTCGACGGGCCTTTCGGCGCCAGAGCCACTACCGGGGGCCTGTGCCGGGGCCGTGCCGGCCTTGGGCGCACTCGAGGTCTTCGCCGGCGCTACCCTCTTATGCGGGGAGCGTCCTCGGGCCTTGGGTTGGCCCTTCGATTTTGTCGGCGAAGACGACCGGTGCCGTACATGCCCCCGTTGGGTCGGTGCCGTGGGCTTCGAGTGACCCGCCGGCGCCGGTTCCCGCACCGATGCCGGGGCGCTCCGCACTGAGGCAGACGGTGCCGCCGAAATGGAGGGCTGTAACGCCGTCTCCATGAGCAGCTGATTGAGGCGAAAGTCTCTTTCTTTCTTAGTTCTGGGCTTAAAGGCCTTCCAGATCTTGCAGCGCTCTTTCTGGTGAGCTTCCCCCAGGCAGCGGAGACACGAGTCATGGGGGTCGCTCAATGGCATAGGCTTAAGGCACGTGGCACAAGCCTTGAAGCCTTGGGCGTGCGGCATGCCCCGCCGCCCAGGGCCGGTGCCGGGGTTGACCAAGCAACCACGGCAGGAACTTTAAGTACCTAATGAGCTGTTAACTACTAAGCTCAACACTAACTACTAAATAACTGATAACTATTGTAGATAACACTAATGACTATGCTAAGGGACACACTCAGACGAGAGACAGAGTTGTTCCAACACCGCCACGGACGGTAAGAAGGAACTGGAGGGGTCGGGTCGGCAGGGATATATATACCCTAGAGCGGGGCGCCGCTCTGGCGGGAGGGAGGGGGCCCTGCCGGCCCGACGGGAGCCGCTAAGGGAAAAAGTTTCCGACGTCCGTGCATGCGGCACGCGTACACCTAATGTGTAATGGACGTGAACAATCACTCGAAGAAGAAAAATAAGTTTTTTAGTTATAGAAATAAAGAGAGACTATGGAAGGACGAGGTTGGGCCATTATGCAGTGTGGATGGGAAGAAGATTAAAGATAATCTAGATACAGCTCAAAAACAAAACAAATAATTTGCTTCAGTTTTCAGTAAGGATGACAATACAGAATATGTACATGTGATGGAAATGAGTGTCAAGAAATGGAAATTACTACATCTCAGGTGGAAGAAAACTTAAAGATCTTATTATGCTCGAATCAGGGGGACCAGATAACTTCCATCCCAGAACACTGAAACAACTGACACATGACATTGCTAGCCCGGTAGCAAGGATATTTAATAAATCTATCTATTTAGGGGTAATACTATATGACTGGAAAATAGCTAACATCATATCTATATTTAAGAAAGGGAAAACAAGTGATCTGGCATTTACAGACCTGTTAGTCTGACTTAAGTAATATGCAAGGTTTTAGATCAAGTTGTGAAGGAAAGAGTAATTACATTCATAGAGGTAAATGGTAAAGGGGATGTAATGTAATAAGGGTTAACATGACAGACTGACCTGATTTCCTTCTTTGAGAAAATAACTGATTTTTTAGATAAGGGAAGTGCAGTAAACCTAATACACTTGGACTTCAGTAAAGCATGTGACAACAGTATCACATGGGAAATTATTTCTTAAATTAGGAAAGACAGAGATCAGTACAAGTGTTGTAAGGTGGATAAGAAATTGGCTGAAGGGGAAAATGCAGTGGGTTATGCTAAAAGGTGAATTACTGGACTAGAGGGAGATTACTAGTGGAGTTCCTCAAAGATAGTCTTGGGGCCAATCAACATTTTTATTAATGACTTGGCACAAAAAGTATAAGTGTGCTGATAACATTTGCTGATGATACAAAGCTGGGAGGCATTGTCAATACAGAGGAAGACTGGAATGTTATACAGGAATATCTGGATGATCTTGAAGACTGGAGTGACAGAAATGGGATGAAATTCAATGGTACAAAATGCAAAGTCATTCACTCAGGGTCCAATAATAAGAATTTCTGCTTCAGTTGGGGGCTCATCAGTTGGAAGTAACAGAGGAGGAGAAAGCCCTGGATGTGTGGGTCTATCACAGGATGATTATGAGCCACCACTGTGATGTACGGTGAAAAAGGCAAATGTGATCCTAGGAAGTATCAGGTGAAGCATTTTCAGTAGAGATAAAGTAGTATTAATCCATTGTGTAATGCACTGGTAAAACTTAATTTGGAATACTGGTACGATTCTGGTCACTCATGTTCAAGAAAGATTCATTTAAACTAAAGCAGGTGCAGAGAAGAGCTAGTAGGAAGATAAGGGGAATGGAGCACCCATCTTATGAGAGGAGACTGGGAAAACACGGCTTGTTTAGTCTAGCAAAATGAAGGCTGAGGGGAGATATAATTGCTCTCTATAAATACATTAGGAGATATGATTGCTCTCAGGGAGGTAAAGAGCTATTTAAACTGAAGGACAATGCTGGCACAAGAACAAGCATATATAAACTGCCCATGAACAAATTCAGGCTGGAAATCAGAAGAAGATTTCTAACTGTCAGAGGGATGAGGTTTTGTAACAGCCTCCCAAAAGGAGTTGTGGGGCAAGCAACTTCATTTTTAAGAGAGAGCAGAACAAATTTATGAGAGCTACTGTATGATGAGGCGCTCGTGATGTTAGGGGAAGGGCTCAATTACTCTGGGGTTCACTTTTGGTTTATGCCTGATGCATCTGAAGCTCATGCTTCAGGGTTTCACCTGGCAACCAGCAGAAGTCAGGAAGGGATTATTTCTCCCCCCCCCCAGTATGTTCTGGGTGGGTGTTTTTATCTCCTTTCTTTAAAGCATCAAGGAGGACCCACAGCTGGAAATGAGATATTGGGCAGGGCTCTAAGGAAGCACCAAGCATTCTCTGTCTCTCCCAGGTGCTTGGATGATTGGTTCTTGCTTACATGCTCATGGTCTAACTGATCGTCATATGGGGTCAAGAAGGAATTTTCCTTTAGGTCAGACTGGTGGTGACCTTGGGGTTTCTTTTAGGGTTGTCGATTAATCGTAGTTAACTCATGCGATTAACTCAAAAAAATTCATCGCTATTAATTGCAGTTTTAATTTCACTGTTAAACAATAGAATACCAATTGACATTTATTAAATATTTTGGATTTTTTCTAC